TGACAGACATAAAGAACAACTTCATAGAAATAGCAATTGTACGTGATTCAGATAAATAAGGAAGCAAGGGCAATATTACTTCTTTCAAAGCAAAAACTTGGGCTCTTTTTTGACTGCACTTATTCATCAGAAATAGATATGCAAGATCTCAATTAAACGTGAATTACGCAAAAAAATTAAATTAATAATTCACAAAATAGTTTTGTGACCACTTTGAGCGTTTTTTAATTGTGTGCAGCAATTCATAATTGCACTATGTGAGTGTGAAGGGTGCAGCAATTACAACTCTAACCAAAATAGCATCGCAAACAGAGAAAATGTGGTAGAAGAGCGTGAGCCAATAGAAGAATTCTCTCAGTACGAGGGATATGACTATAATTATTCTAATTTTTAATTGGAAATGTAGAAAGTGGGAACACATCTGATGACGAACGAAGGGATCTGAGCTACGTATTCCTTTGTAGGGTTTTAAGCGAATTACTTTAGAAATTTATATCAAAAGGGAATAAACCCTTTATAAAAACTACTCGTTACCATTGCTTTCTAATTTATTCTAGTTTATTTCACAATTCATATATATCAAGATGGAATATACCTCTAGAAAGGTTACATATCTGCAATCTCATCTAACTTACTTAAGCGTTGAATTTCGCTTTTTGAACTTGCAAAATTATTATCAAAATTATTTCACTATTGCTGCATATTTCGTGCTATAATGTCACATTTCAGACATCGTCGGCAAAAATTTTCGATTTTCCCCACAAGGTGATGGTCCTGCAAGTTACACCATACTAACCTACAGGCCTAAGTCATTAGGTATAGAAAGTTTCCCCAATACTTCTCCAGAAAACCTTGTTAAATTACAAATGCAATCTTCTGTAGATAAAAGACGTCGAGGAACAGACGACGATTCCAGCGATGGGACGGACTACGTCGAGATAGGCCACTGGTCTGAGAACAACGTAAGTTTTTATTACAAATTTAACCCAACCTTACTGTAATGGTAAAAACATATTCATTAAACTGATTAGAATAGAATATCCTTATCCTGTAACTTGGAGGGAAAGCAATACATAAGGCAAAAACTTCTACTCTGAACTCAGCACGGAACGAATTTGGAAAATTTCGAGTAAAATTCTGACAACCTAGCGTAATTCTGTTGTCCAAATAGCGCATTCCTTTAAAATTAGCTTAC